TTTTCAGGCAGAAATAAGTTCTTAATCCTTCTGATATTAACAATTTATAGTTTTTATTTTTTGTACATTTAACGATAGGAGGAGCTAGTGAAGAACAAAAGCTTTAATTTCCTTTAAGATGTCCAGTAGAAAACCTAAGAAAAATACTGATTGCAATCTGTATTTCTTGTGTTAAATATTTAATCATATATATTTACATGTACAGCTTATGCCATTCTAAAAGACATGTTTACAGAGTTCTTAATCATCTAAAATGTTCTTTTCTTAATATAAGTCTTTTAGAAAACTCACAATTCAGATTAAAGTTCAGAGTAAAAGGAAAAGTTACAACCATAGCTAGAGTTCTATTCTCTCCTCCTTGACTGCAGAGGCAACGCTTTAAGCAGTGAATGGGGGCAAATGATGATGACTTTGAAATACGGGTTAGTGTACAGTGGGGCAAAAAAGTATTTAGTCAGCCACCAATACTGCAAGTTCTCCCACTTGAAAAGATGAGAGAGGCCGGTAATTTTCATCATAGATATACCTCAACTATGAGAGACAAAATGAGAAAAAAAAATCCAGAAAATCACATTATTCTGGGATTTTTACTCACCGTTCTTGTGATCATTTTGACCCCACGGGGTGAGATCTTGCGTGGAGCCCCAGATCGAGGAAGATTATCAGTGGTCTTGTATGTTTTCCATTTTCTAATAATTGATCCCACAGTTGATTTCTTCACACCAAGCTGTTTACCTATTGCAGATTCAGACTTCCCAGCCTGGTGCAGGTCTATAATTTTGTTTCGGGTGTCCTTTGACAGCTCTCTAGTTTTGGCCATGGTGGAGTTTAGAGTGTAACTGTTTGAGGTTGTGGACAGGTGTCTTTTATACTGATAACGGTTTCAAACAGGTGCCATTAATGAAGGTAACGAGTGGAGGACAGAGGAGCCTCTTACAGAAGAAGTTACAGGTCTGTGAGAGCCAGAAATCTTGCTTGTTTGTAACTGACCAAATACTTATTTTCCACCATATTTTGCAAATAAATTCTTTAAAAATCAGACAATGTGATTTTCTGGATTTTTTTTTCTCATTTTGTCTCTCATAGTTGAGGTATATCTATGATGAAAATTACCGGCCTCTCTCATCTTTTTGAGTGGGAGAACTTGCACTATTGGTGGCTGACTAAATACTTTTTTGCCCCACTGTATATATAAGCATAAAACACCAGTCCCTCAATCCTCTCACTGAAACATGAGGAACTGAGCAGAAAATCTCAATCCTCATGTTTGCCTTCCTTTAGAAATTGCTCTTTATAATTACATAGGAGTGGGTTTGCATTTAAGGAGGCCTTTTTGACCTACAGCAGCACAATGGGACTACGGCAAGTTATGGACCTATATACAATCTTACACAGAGTAATAAAATACTGTTTATAAAATTATATGTGTAAACTACCTTTACACAGGCCACAACCGGCAACCGCCCAGTTATAATGAAGGTGACTAATTTTAATGGCCAGTTGTTGAGTTGATGATGTCGTAGTTAAATTATAGATCATTCAAAATGGAGGGTAAAACTAATTGAATGTTATTAGTTGAATAGTTATAACTTTAATTCGCCTACTAACCAGGATTTTTAGCCTCTCACACTCCAGGTGGGCTTCTGGACCGACTAATTAAAATCCAGTTATCTCCACAAATTAAGTAAATTAGGCAATGGCTATTAGAAGAATGAATAATTACCAATCAAAGAAATTGTTTCTATTTACATGCTACCAAAAGGAGGGTGACTTTGACCTGAGTAATAAATCATTCGCTGCACAATAAACACAAGAGGTTAAAAATGATGTCTTTATTTGTCACAAACGAGGATTATAGGAAATCTAACATCTATGCAAACACCACACACAACTAGAAAACAAACCTACATTCATCTAAAACCCAGCTAGAAAGGGGCTTTACCAAGACAAAGAGTCATAAAAACAAATGGCTGACTCCTACCATACAGTTAAAGGAGGTGGAGCAGCAGTGCTGGAAAAACACTTGAGGTTGTAAATCTCACAATATGGTGGCTCTTATCATGTGACAAAGGGGGCAGGGTGGACTGCAGGCACATTATCTGTTACTGGGCTCATGTGGTCGTAAAAATACATTTCCTATCATATCCTTTCTGATAGTAATTATTAATGTAGATTTTTATTCACTTAATTTCTCTTTAGCAGAGCTGCTAGTGTCATAAGCTCAGAAGGTAGGACCCAGAATTCAGACGAGACAGACAGTGGGATACTTCAAAGTGCTTATTTAAAACTGCACCACTAAAGCTCACAGCTGTAGGAAGCAGGCATGGCTGCCGGGGAGCAGAGCGAGCCCTGAAGCTGCAAGACGGCTCCTTCTATTTTGATTATTTTACATTTTTAATACTTTTCTGACTATTTCTATCTGCAATATGACTAAAACTCCCACTTTTATCTGGTTTCTTTTTAACACAAATTCATCAGATGCAAAGCAAATAAGCTTCAATTCACCAACCTTTCTGCTCTTTTAATAAATATTTATTTATTTTTCAACTCTTCACTATACTGTTATTTTTATACACTTTTTCTATAAGGTCTATTAAGGGCTATATTATATTATTATTATATTAAAGTGAAATCATGAAACATTTTTATAGGTCAAAATATTGTTGTTGAGGTTTTAATTAACAAGAATAAAGTTATTCAGGTAAAAATAGGCTGCCGGAGCTTGGCTTGATCATTTACTCGTTTAATCTGTGTTAGAGTCCTGCACGGGGTCGAGTTTTACAAACCCGCACCCGCCCGAATCCGTTAGGATGACTACTGAACCCAACCCGTCACCCGCGGATATCTTCAATTCAAATCCGAACCCGACCCGTTGATATTTAACCCGCAACCCGACCCGTTAACACATCAAGTAATAGGCTATAGTACGCTGCGCTGCAGAACAGCGCCATTAACACTGCAGCAGACGTGTATGCACTGACTGTGGCCTTTTTGGAGGGAAGCCCACCCTGCCGGCAGGGCTTTAAGCTACAACAAGGGTGACCCCAGTGCCTGATTAATATAACATTTCTGATGTCCATAACAACACACACGCATTAAAAAAAAATCACCAACTACCCGCCCGCACTAAAAAAATATCCGCCCGACCCCCGACCCGTTTATTTTTATTTATGTATTTTCACCCGCAAAAGAGCATTTTAGCGGGTGACCCGTCGGGGACCCTCGGGTACCCGACCCGTTGCAGGACTTTAATCTGTGTAACTGGCCTGGTTGCTCATTACATTTATCTTGTCCACCTGGTTCCTGCTACTATTTATGCTGCCTGTTTTCCTGCCCTCGCCTCCAGATCATTTCTGCTGTTTGCAGACATCCTAAGTTCCAGAAACTCATTTCAGGGAGATGCTTATACCCCTGTCACCCCCCCCCCCCCCCCCCCCCTCCAAAAAAAAAGAAAGGTCATCTGGATCTATTTCATTCTTTTTCTTTACAAATACTGTTATTCAAAAACAACAAGACGATAGCTTCAGTGGTATTGAGATAGGATCCCAGTTTTCAGCTGCTAAATGATATTTTTTTTTCACAACAAATAATGCTCTAATTTTTTCAGATTAATTACACAACTTTAATAACAGTTTTTCTTGAGTTCCAATTTAAATTTTATAGAAAACAGTAGCTTAAACTCAAATTAAGTCAAAAATTTGTAAAATTCCTGAATTATAAATGTATATTGACCTCATAAGAAATAGAATTTTTATTGAACCTAATTGAAAAGAAATTTCACTTCATGCAGCTCTCTTAATATATATTTGAATCTCTTGCCCTTTTTTATATTTCATGCTTTTCTGGGCCCCAATGAAAACATGCTGGCGCCCTCCTGGCCCCCTGGTGCATTTGGTCTAGATCCGCCACTGTTCCTCCCCTTCACTAGACATGTATATACTTTAGTATATTCTGCTGTAAAATTAGTCCTATATTTTCGTTTCTTACTCGAGGATTAAACCTCTGCCGTTTCCCAGGATGCACAGCTTTGAGTGTTAACTAGGTGACTCCCAGAGAGTAAACCCAGAGAAACTTATTGGACTGATCCAATCAGCTCTCTGATTAACCAGTCGCCTGGAGCGCTGGTTGAACAGAGCATCGCTTTGGACAGAAACGCTGCACAGGATTACCCAGAAACTTCCTCCCCACACCCCGCTCTCTCTTATAATAATAATAATAATAATACATTTTATTTAAAAAGGCGCCTTTCTGGACACTCAAGGTCACCATACAAAAGCATAAAAAAGTGTCAGAAAAAATAAAAATAATAATTATAAAGACATTTAAAAGCATTTAAAAAATACAGAGGCTGTGACAGTGAAATTGATATTTTTAAAGAGAATAAGCAATCTTGAACAGATGGGTTTTGAGTTGCATTTTAAAATGGAGAATTGAGTCCGTATTTCGAAGTTCGGCTGGTAGAGAGTTCCAGAGGCGGGGGGCAGAGCGGCTGAATGCTCTGCTCTCCATGGTGGTGAGACGGGCGGAGGGGACAGACAGGTGCAAAGCAGATGAGGATCTAAGAGCATGGGAGAGGGTGGGAAGATGCAGGAGGTCTGACAGATATGGGGGGACAAGCTCTTGCTGTCTGCGCAATCACAGTAGTTGTAATCCGCACGTGATGCACGAAATATTGTACTGCCTGCCCGTTTTCACGCGCCTAAAAAAAAAAACAGCACCTCGCTGTCTAAAATCCGGAATAATCTATCTGACTCGCGGGCATCCATGAACAACTATCGATATCAGAGAGACTCCCGGAACTTCCGGGAGACTTGGGATGTCTGTGTTTGTGCGAGTAACTCTAGCGTTTTGCATAGTGTTCTGATTTTCGGATCCTGACCCGCTTCCATCTTTGGGACTCCCGAGTTTTTGCTCTGTCCATGTCTGTTCTATTAGTCTTGTCTGTTCTGGACTGATTCCTGGATTCTGCTGGCTTACCGAACTTGGAATTGTCTTCTGACCTCGGCTTGGAATCTCCTCTGGTACCTCCTCAGCTCTCTGATCTTCTGGTGTGTTAACCTGGTTCTGCTTTGACTTTGGCTCTGGATTTTCCCTCATGGACACTGTTGCTTCTTGGCGTTGATTCGCATCAACTCTACTCTTCTCTCGGAACTCTCGAGGAGTCACCTGCCACAAACTGTGCACAAATCTCCTGTTCGGATTCAACTCCTTCCTCTGGGATTGAACTGAACGCAGAACCAGGTTAGTGACTTTTGCTCATAGTTGTGGCCAGTCCTTTATTCTGAGTCACTAACCTGAGTTTCTTTTTCTACAGAGGATCCGGTGCATCTGCTCCCGCTAACGAGCAGCATTTATTTAAACAAAAATGAGGCTGCTTGTCAGCTGGGGCGAGCTCACTGGATACTCTGGTAAAGTTCAGAAAGAGCCCAGAAGAAGAAGTGAAGTCCAGAGCAGTGATACTCCATAGCTTTTAACTGAGCATGAACCAGAGATCCAGGAGGAAAGAGGAGCAGCTACCAGCAACAGCCAGAACATGCAGAGGAACCAAAGGATCCACTGGGATAAATCCAAGCCGGGGTCAGAAGACAGGTCTAAGACCGATAACAGGTGGAATCCAGATAAAAGTCCGGAAAAAACACAGGCAAACAGAGCCGGTCAGCGGCGTCCAAAAACTCAAAAGTCTGGGGGCAGAAACGGGTCAGTAACAGGCAGAACTAAACACAACAGGGTATGCTAGAATGAGGCTCACAAGAAGCTATCATAATCTGGCCCAAATGGCTGGGAACAGGTGGCTTAAATAGAAGCAGGAACAGGTGGATATGATTAGAGACAATGAGTGCAGGGCAAAGCAAAGCAGATGAGAGGAAACAGAGTCAAACCCAGCCATCTGTGGCAAGATCATGACAAATACTACAAATATTGTGAACCAGATCATTGCCCAAAATTTTTACAGGAGTTTTTACAACGGTCTTATCAGTTAAAGAATCAGGAGCCTATAGCTGTAAATGATAAATATTCATAATTGTCTGGAGGAAGCTGTTAATAATCAGGTGTTGCCACCAGCCTGCAAGGTTCTAACTGGTTGTTGTGCCTAAAGTAGGTCAGTGAAGGGGCTCTGTTGTGTAGATGTGGCTATCAGCTCAGGGGATTAAGATATTTTTCTTTAAAAATGATGTATATCTGTATTATTTTTATCCAGAAATAAATATTTAAAGCTCAAAAATTTGTTTCAACGATATACACCTGGCTATAAATCATTCTTAAAAATAGGTGTATTACTATTTTACTTGGACTTAATTTTAATAAGTAATTATTGTAAAGATTGGAGAAACAGTTCACAATCATGAAACAAATATTAAAGATAAAAAGGAAACTGTTCTGTCATTATTTTCATTACCCTGTCCAAATCCAAGGAGGAATATTTTTCAGATAATGTAACAAAGAAAGAAACATGTTTAAGCATTAACAGAATTTATTCCAGTCTTGGTTAATAAAATCATTGCTTTAAGCACCATTTGCAAAAGATCTCACCTTCTACCTTAGGCCCTACATCTTGACCAATCAGCTGAGGAACCAACACAAATGGCCCCGAGCTTCTACATGCTTTTCAGTTTTATCCCAAAGCCCCCAGTCAGCATCGGGCCCTTCTGACACAGCATACAGCATTACCATATAAGGTGATGCTGGAGCATTTCTGGTTTTGGCCGACTTACACAGAACATGAACACATATAGAAATGAACAGATATAACAGTTTATTTAAAACATGAAATAAAATAATAAGAAATTAATCTTCAACAAAGCTTTTTGGCATTTAGAAAAAATGCATCAATATTTCTCCTTATTTTAACAAAAGTTGTTTTGAAACTCTTCAAGATATAAGAGTAACCAGTCCTGGACCTGCACCAGAACCAGTTCCTGATTTACTCTGTGTGTGTTTCCCAAATAAACATTGTTAAACTTTCCTCTGCCTCCGTTAGTGTTCTGCATGTGGGTTTTCGTTCATTAAACCAATCATGACAGAACACTGCGGCCAATCACAAGACCCAGTGGAACACCTCCGAAGGCGGCTTGAGGAACAAGAAGCCCAAATCCAAGGACAAGCTCAGACCCTTCGTGAGTTAAATGTTTATGTTGAACATCAGAACCAGATTTTACAGAGATACGCTGGCTACGTGAGAACTGCTAACACCGCACCAGTTGTACTTCCTGTTCCTGAACCACGTCCGCCTTAAAGGTCAGAGGTAGTGACGTCATTTCCTGAACTATGTCCGAGTCCACCTGAAAGATTTTCAGGTATTCAGTCAAAATGTAAAAGATTTTTGTTCCAGTGTCGTTTACTTTTTGAAAATTCTCCTGCCAGTTTTTCTAATGACAAAAAGATTTCATTCATTCTTTCTCAACTCTCTGGCCGAGCGCTAGAATGGGCTCAAGCCCGGTTTTCATCTGAAGCCAGTTTTTCATGCACTTATTCTGAATTTTTGAATGAATTTTCTCAAGTTTTTAACCAGGATTTGGATCAAACAATTGATTCCCGGGCCTTGCTTAGTTTGAAGCAAGGGAACCTGACGGTGGCAGAGTTCTCCATCGACTTCCGGGTCAAAGCCGCAACTTCAGGCTGGAACGAGTGCGCACTTAAAAGTGCTTATTTTCAGGCCTTAAACGATAACATCAAGGACGAACTCGCCACAATTGATGAGCCAGCTAGTTTGGAGGATTTAATCCAATTAACCATAAGATTGGATGACAGACTTCGGATTTGAAATAAATCTAGACAAACAAGCCCAGGAACTACAGGTAACCACTCTTCTGTTTTTGTTAGATCCCCAGAGTCCAGTACTAAACCAATCATGACAAGAACAATGAAACCTTAATTTGAAAAAGAAAAAAAAACTTTAAGCTTAAATGTTGAGTGAAGTTAGATTACTGAGAGAAAATGTGGAAGACCTGAGGCAGAATCCTGAGAAGGAAAACCAGCAAAGGGAACCAATTCACAGAGATAATGGAGAGATTCAATTAAAATCTGCAAATGAAGAAGAAAAAGGACTTAAACTAAAATTTAAGTATGAAACCAAAATATAAAGAGGAAACAACACAATAATTCACCAAGAAAGAAAACATAAAGGAATAAAATTATATTGGAAGAGTAAAAGGGAAAAAAATTTGCAGCTGAATAAAACAAAACTCTACTGAGAGAAAAACAGAAAAAAGAGAAAAAGAAAACCAAAGGATAATAGATCATGATAAAAGATCATTTGGATATTGTTCACTCTATTACAGTAATTTATTTGCATAGCAGTAGGCAGATTATTCACTATTACTGCACTTCTGAATCACAAGTATTTTTCACCCGAGGAAAAAGCAAACAGGCTTCATATTTCTAAGTTTATAATTCTTTCTTCTCCTTTTTGAAGACTTTCCCATCAGGCTGCTCTCTCCACTTCAGGGTAACTCCACCCACTCCATTCTCCTGAAGTCTCTTATGGAGCTGTAGGATAAAAGTGGAAGACATAAAAAACTATAATTTCAAAATCAGATGGAATTATTCATTTGGAACAAAGAAGAAAAAGTACTAATTTCAAACCTGCCTCTGTAAGGATTTTCCCTTTTTGAACGGGGTCCTCCATAGCCTCTGGGTCCTCAAAGTGAAGTCTAAGCTTTACTACCTGTTTTCTGATGCCTGATTTAAAATAAGGGACATCAGTTGCAAAAAAACAAAACAAAACAACATAATCAATAAATTACATTATTGCTAGGATATTACCAAATGCTGTTATTATATTATCACAGCTTACCCTTTAACTCTTTAGCAAAGACCTTACTTTGAGATTGAATTCCTTCATCTGTTGTGACGTTGTCAGGACTGGAGACTTTTCCTCCTGTGGCCAGAGAAGTGACATTAGTGACAAAATAACATAAGCAGTAAATTCAGTAATTGATGGATTATGATTGAAGGTTACTGTCATGACCTTGGCACTGATGGCGGAATTTCGCTCTTTTATCCAATCTTCTTAGCTGCGTGCAGCGCCAATTGTCATTAATCAGATAAACTTGTTCCTGCTTTCTATTTAAGCCACCAGATTCCAGACATCGGTGCCAGAATATTTGAGCCAAGTGTGAGAGATTTCTAGCTATCTGTGAGTTTCGGATTACCTGATCCTGACTAGTTTCCGTCCCTTGTGGAGCTTGTGGAACTTTTACCAGCCCCCTGCCACAAGGTGTCAGAACGCCAGCAGTCCATCTGCCTTAACCAATGGCACATCCTCCAGCACATTGTGGCAGCTGCAGTGGCATGGCCCTGCCACCTGCCCCACTTCTATTGCTTTTTATACACAAACGGTTTAATGTTGGGGTTATTTAATGCTTGCTCTATATTTACTTTCAATTAATGTAATGGCAACAATACAAATTTACTTACACATACACATTGCCGACTTAGCGACACCTTGTGCCACTGGAAGTGCCAATACTCTCCAAGTGTCACTGGCAGTGGTACCATTAGATACAGCTGCCATAGGAAGTGCCACTACCAGATGCATGTCATGACTGTATGTCATGGAAATCAGTGGGAGGCTGTCTGGCACCCTCTTTGATAGAGTGGCAGGACATGGAAATCATTGGTAGGTGTCACTGCATCCGCTCCTGTGCCACAGCAGGTGATAAGAATTAGTGGCAGGCCGACTGGTACCTCCTCCACTGCCGTGGTAGGTGCCATTGCCATGATTTGCACCTGCTATCTCTCCAGTGCTAATAACTAACAACTGGCCTCTCACCCTCTTTATACTCACATTTGCAGGCAGCCTGGTTGGTAACAAGCTAAGTTTTAGATTTCATGTGAGCTTCCAAAACCTACAGCAGGTGTCTGGATGGGACTATGTTAGCTTTAATAGAACTTTGTAAGAAGCTATCTTTGTTTGCCTCTTGGGAAAATAATTTGTGAACAGCTGCTTTCCCTAATTCGACCTTTTTTCTTTTTATTTCTTCTTGTGGTATCTTGGTTTATGATTTTTGAGTAACGTAATGTGTCGCCCCCCAGGTCATTTAATCCAGGCTCATGTCATTGCGGTCGTTGTCAGGCGGACTAAAACATTTGTGTGCCTCCAAGAGGGTTAGAATGTCTAACACGCTGGTTGGATTGTACATAATGTTGGGGTAATTTGAAATAAAACACTAAAAACAATTAAAAAAACATATGAAATAGAAAGCAATTTAACATCACTGGTGAGGGACTTTAGTAAAACACTAATTAAGTATTAGGTTTTTAATTATTTAAAATTGAAATAAACTGGTTTATCAAAGTTAAAAGGTTTTAGAAAGTAACTAAGATACCTATTTCTAAATACTAGATATGCCAAATTATACTAATCAGAATATGCCTTCCTTTGAAAAGCAGCTTCTTATTTTCTCTTTTGAATCTTGAAACACACTCACCATTAGTGTCATAACAGACAAATGGTAATCTTCTTTCACTGGGTAAAAGCTTCCATCTCCCTGACCTCCCAGTAGATGTAGCACCACATATGACTGTCCTCAAGGCAATCTGAATAAACGTGGAATCCCAGTGGGTAAAGAGGACGCTTCTCCCGTCAGACCAGTGATGATCTGGATCTCTATATAGACCAATCCATGCTTCGTCAGCATCAGGTTTCAGGCTCTGGACCTGCTGTTCCTGTGTGTCATTTTTTATTGTGGCCAGGTCAATAAAGTTTTCCCTGCAGTGGATCTGAGCATTGGACCAATTCATTGGTGTTTTCACATGAACAAATTCAGGGTCCAAGTGTGAACCTGTTAGTGACGACAATAGAGGATAAAGTTAAGTAGATGTTCTATGACTTACAATAATGCTTTAAAAAATGTGTGTCATAATTAATATTTTAACCTTGGTAGCACAAAAATGGTCGATTATCTGTGCAGACATCATCAAACCAACTTCCACTAGAAAATAATCCTACACATAAGTCATCAACATAATGCCATGATGGTTGATTTATGTGCCAGTTTCTGTAGTCAGCTCCACTCCCAATGTAACCATCTGACCATTTCCAGTTGATTTCACTGAACAGACCAATCCAGACGTCAGAGCTGTGTCCAGCAGATGTAAGATTGTCATAAAATTGGTTCTGTTCCTTAGAATTTAGGATGGTGGCCAGGTCTGTGTGCTTCTGTCTGCAGTAGGTCTGAGCTTCATTCCAATTCATTAACTGATTAACAAAATAGTACTGAGGGAGGATGCAGGTGGAGAGGACCACGCAGTCTGGAAGATAGATTTAAAAATCTTATTTTTCATCATTCTGTGTCACTTTGCTGCAAAGCTTTTAATAGCGCCAGAAGTAAAGATGAAGTCACTCACCTAAAAGAAACAAAAATCCCAACATGATCTTCTCCATCATGATGCTGCTCTGAGGACTGCAGTAGAAGGTGCTGATGCTATGATCAGTCTCTGAAAAGACTGTCTGTTTGATACATGGGTAATGTTCTTTTTTCATATCCATGCAAACCTAGATGCCAGAACTTCCTGTAGTAAAATGATATGTAGAAAGGGCTGAGTGTCATGATTTTATCAAGAGCTCTGACCCACATGCAGAGAACCAATACAGAGAGACCAGGGGAAAGTTTAACAGGTTTATTGAGAAGATTGGGATGAATCCAGTGTAGCTCTGAACCCTGCTCAACCGGAACTGGAAAGTGAGGGGAATACACTAGGGTTAGTTCAGGCTCAGTGGGGAATTTGATTATCGAACTTGAAGAGGAGAAATAGATTGCAGACTCACATTTCCAGAAAATGGTTGACTCTTTGACTCCAGTCTGTGTGGGGGTGTTCCAGTGTTTGTCTCATTCGATGGAGGGTGGACAGCAGTGGTGTAGTCTATGTGATGTATACGCCGTATACCCACTAGAAAAGCTTGTGAATTTCAGTATAACCACTTAAAAGTGCCCAATAATACTGCGTTCACACCGGACGCAGCAGGCGCGGCAGGAGCAGCGAGTTTACATGCAAAGTCAATGGTTGACGCACGTCAAGAAGCAGAAAAAGGTCCCGCAGCGCGTCTGAGCATCAACGCGCTGCTGCTCGAGATGGAAAAATTTAACTTTTGCTGCTCGACACACCGCATCAACCAATCAGAGAAGCTGATCTGGGAGCTGGCAGGGTGACAGACAGATCGCTAATGACACATAGCGCTATGATCACTCCTCTGAAACAGCTTATTAACGCCTAAATTAACTGAAAATTCTGAAATCTGCCGACAAAGCATCTTTGCTTTTATTATCCTGGTGCCTGCAGTTTGAAATACGTTCATGAAAACCGCTTCCAGCCGCCGCAGGGAAATGTCCGGGGTTAGTTTCAAAATCGTCATGACCCCCAACTTTTACAGGCACCGCTGTCCATGACTTTTGGCTTTATGTCACACATGGCCACGTAGAGATCACTCTCAACTGAGAGGAGTCAAGATCTGTATTTTTTTCATGTAATAACCATTTTTTAGAAGTGATATACTTTTGTACATTTATATTTTACAAACATATTAGTCTACCCCTTTAAATCATCTTGTGACTGCATTTGGGGTAGGGACCCCAAGGTTGAGAATGGCTTCTTTGGGTGACACATAAAATGCTTTTAAGTCCTTCCTTTTCCTAATTAAGCAAGAAATTTACTCTTCTACTGATTTACTAATCTTACTATTTTGATTGAAGTAGGTGAAAGTTAGAGATGATGAGAAAGTAGAATGATCTGGCATTGAAATTTTGTCAAGTTAGCTATGAATGATCATATTTTTCTTTGTTACATATCCTGAGAATATCCATATAGAACTAATATGATTGAAACATCGAAGACCTGCAGCAGGTCAAGATGAAATCTAAGCACAGAGTATATTTAAATTTATAAGTGTATATTCAGAGCCTTCCCTGCTCAGTAGAATGACTTACATCAAGGAGAGATACAACAGGTTGCATGAATGTGTCTACACATCACAAAAGACACTTGAGAAACATTTAGATCAGGTTTTTTCACTTTTCGATTCTGCATTTCCTAATGTTATTGGTAAGCTGGACTGCACAAACATTTAGATATACCGCAAAAAGTAAACCTGGTCTTAAACCATCAGCTCTCAGATCTGCATGTTACTACAATGTTAGCTTCCACTGTTAGTGTTTAAGTTTACAGTTGTTCATTTGAAGAGATGAAAATTAACTTCTGAAATTAAGAATCATTTCGAAGAAAGAAAAATCGAATTTTTATACTGTTTAGGCATCTTTTGTTTGCAGCATCTGTGAATCAATGATCAACTTAATGTCTGTTTAAAGAAGGTAGAGGACACGCATTTAGATGGATTACGAGAAGTGTGGCTTGACATAGCCCCACTTTGACAGCTTTGGTTGGCCTTTGTAAAATGGATAAAGCTAGAATGCAGTGATAACAATACATCAGAGGTGTCAAGTAACAAAGTACAAATACTTTATTTCTGTACTTAGGTAAAATTTTTAGGTATCAACACTTTACTCCATTACTTATTTTTTCTTCCTACTTCTGACTTCTACTCATTACATTTTCACACAAGTATCTGTACTTTCTATTCCTTACATTTTTAAAACAAACGTTTCTCGTTACTCTTGGCTTTAGTTTAATGTTTATAAATATTTATTTCCCGTCATGTGCTCCATCCAATGCAGATCATTGGCTCCATCCACATGTAGTGAGAACTAGTGTAATTGGATGAGTCATAGAACGCACACACTTATGGGTTAGCTAAAGGAAATCATCAGAAGCAAGCAGGTGTTCTTCAAACTGCTAACGTGAATTGTCTATGCCATGCTACAATGTCGGATTCAGAAAAAGATGTTGAAATGTCTGAAAGGTCGGACACAGGCGAGAGCGTATCGGGAGATGGAGACCAACAAGACCTCCCTCATCCTTGGCCCTATCTCAAAATTTTTTTAGAAATAGTCAAAATTTAAGCTCTTAATTCATACAGTGACATCTGGGTGTTTTTTTAAAGGTTAATTTATACTTTTATATTTTAAGTAGTTTTTGGAGGAGAGTGTTTTAAACTGCAGTGTCTATTCTTCTACTTAAGTAACAAAAGTGTAAACTTTTGACACCACTGCAAAAGATCAAGCCTTGCTTTGACTGTTGTTAAATCAATGATTTTTAACCCCGCTTACGTAAAAAAGCCCTCTGAGAGAAAAAAAGATTTACAACCAGATTCACTCCATCATGAGGCTCCACAGCAGATAAGAAACCTTTACATTATAGGGATGTTTGCTGTTTTCATGCTTTAGGATAGAAAACATTTGAATATGACCCTCTCCATGCAAACTTTATAGCAACTGTATCCTTTGCAGGAGGCCATTTGCATGTTTAGGTTTGCATTTTTTCCCCTTAGGCATGAATGGCGTGGTTCTTTTTAAAACAACAAACACATCAGAAAAACCTGTCAATGTATGAAGGGTCATTTGCTCTCCTAGGAGGTTTTTCATAAAAAAAAAAAAAAAAAAAACAAACAGAAGGAAGAAGTATGGCGTCTCCTAAGCATGCAGTCCATCTCTCCAGAGTCCAGCTAAACAAATGGTGCATCTTATATATTGAGAGGAATATTCTTTTATAAGAATTATAGAAATCTTTAATCCTTTTTTTCCAGGCAAATCCTTCATTTCAAAGATTTAAACACTGCAGATCACATCAAAGATGTAAAAAATATTACAGCTTATCATAAATCTTATCCTTAACATGCTTGTTATTAATTACTATGAAACATTTCATCTCCATGTGTTTTATTTAACAAAAAACTTGAATGACATATTTCAACATCCCTCTATTCAACAAGAAGTAGTATTTTTTTTGTAATATTCATCAAACTCACATTTTATTTGACAAACATCCTTACATTTTATATAGTTTACCACTTAATCTCTATACAGACCAGAAATATGATTGCAACAGTTTTTATCAGCTGAACCCAAAGATCTAAGATCTTTGTTTATGTACACAAAAGGCTTTTTTCCTGTTACTGTATACTAATCCGTCTAAGTCTGGTACCAAGCACTTTATCTTTAGCCAACATAATCCATCCACTTTTTACATATGAAAATGCTGTTTAGACAGCATGATTATTGCACAGGTGTGCCTTAGGCTGACCTAATACCATAAAGTTTTATTCTCTCCATGATGATGTCACAGCCAAACAGGATTAGACAAGGCGAAGCTACTGTGAGAAAAAGCAGAGAGAGCAAAACCTTAGAGATTGTTAGAGACGTTAGAGATTCTGCAGAGTGGGAGAATAGAATAAAGCAGAATGATGAAATAAGGGTCCCTATGTCCTCCAGCAGTCTAAGCCTATAGCAGCATAACTATAGAGATAGCTCAGGATAACATATATATATATATATATATATATATATATATATATATATATATATAGTTTATGATTGATGGAAACTCTACACAGTTTCTATGTCCTCCCACTGGTTGGGGGAGGACATAGAACAGGGGGCTGAGGTGGGGGTCTTCTCCTGAAGTAAATCACCATCCTGTTGGTTTTCCTGGTACTTTAACACAGGTGGTTGTTCTCTCACCAATCCACAAAGTCCATCATAGCACTGTCATGGTTCAAAATGGCTTCTGCAATATCCTCATCACCTATCTCTTCAAGAATTGACAATGTTTTCCTACATAGATCAATCTAAAAATAATATTCCATTACTCTCTGCGTAGGATATAGATTTTATATAGTCCTAAGTTAACGAATATAGCACTTATTTGTTTCACATCATCATGTTTTAGTTAGCTCCTTCGCACAGTGATATAAACATACTCCTTAATTGTAGTAATTTAGTTTGACAGTGAGTTTCTGCTGGTTGAAAGTATATATTCCTCATTTAATGAGTCCAAGAGTTAACTGGGGCATGAGGCTTATTAAACGAGGTCGATGGAGAGGATGTATTTATGAAGAGCAACTTCTAAGGTAACGCAAACACAAAAAATAGACTTTCAGTTCTTAGATCATAATAAATAACATACCTTTATATAATTTATAACACTTCTTTTAGAAAATCTGTAATATTAAACACTGATGACATAAGCAGGAAACAACGCAAAGGTGTAGGGCAGTGGTTTCTGAAGTCCAGCGTTGAATATCCTCTCTTCAGCTCAGTTTTTGGATACTTGTTGCTTGAGACTCCAATCATAAACCCTACTAAGTTTTACTTTTTTATGTTTTTTTTTTTTTCACATATCCTAGGGTTTAGATTGATGAAAAAACAGCTTGGTTGACTATAAAAAGCTGCACCCTTAAGATTAAGACTTCTATCATTTTAGTTTGTGAAGAAACTTCATCTTTCATGTTAAAGTCATAGATGGTGGCTGTTCCAGCGGTTGCAGTTCAGAAAAAGAAAAGTTAACTTTTCTGAACTCCAGCATCAGACGCTCAGATACTCTGATGCTCAGATGTACTGCTGGACCTCTCAATACCGCCCTCCATAGACTGTGCACAAAAATCAGACGCTTTAATCCCCAAACCGCTTTTGGTATGATTGCACTATTACAGTCATTTGAGAGACACAGGGAAGCAGTTCAAGTGGACCCATCTGTGATTATCGGAGGTCTGGTAAATCTTCCTTCTATGCAGCCAGTTCACTCCCTTCAAACTGTCTATCACAATTTTCTCCAATGATTAATTTTTAAACTGGTTCCTTCTTGTTTCTCGTATCAGGCTAGACCCCACAAACTTTTTTTTAAATGGATAATTATTCCTAAATGATAAGATATTACATATTGTATAAATATTGCACTGTTCTATTATGAAAGTGTGTAAATTATTATATATATTGAAAATAAATGTGGAATTTTGCATGCTCTTTGGGGCCCCTAGCCACCCTTGGACCCTAAGCAGCCACTTAATCTCTTTCTTCCCTCTGCCGTGTATAAAACTACTCTAATTCTGTAATTCAACAGTTGTCAGGAGCTGGAAAGAGTTAACTGAATGTGCGCCTGCTTACATTAGTTACCCATTGAAGTTTAAACTGAACTAGAAAGTTTTCGTAAAACTTGATCCAAAATTATTAAATGCAAATCTGTTAGAGAGTTGCCAAATATTGAATATGCATATTAAAAGGGGAAAGCAGCAGTAATTTACTGAAGTTAGCACTGAATGTGTGACAAAACCAACAAAAATGAAAGGAGCAAGAAGCTGGAACTGCTCCATGTTAGAACTACTCATCACTCCATGACCCACGTTGCGTTTCAACATTAGCTCAGCTTTATAGAACACAGGAAGGTCCAAACCGCCCATAAACAACTCTGGGAAAGGGAAGAACAGTGTAAAGGTTTTAATTATGCTTGTGATTATAGTCTGTAGCCACTGGGTGGCAGCACGGTGCTTTGAATACTGAAAAATCAAACACAAAAAAGGTCAATATATTACAAAGAGATTAACATATGGTGTTACTCAAATTTAAAGAGAAAACATATTTTATAGAAATATTGAAATGTTATAGGCTTTTATTTCTTGTAATTAGATGATTATGGTTCACAGATAATAAAAAATAAGTAACGTCTGAGTCTCCAAAACTCTGAGGGCTTCAGGTTTGGTGAGTTTGCTGCTCAGTCAGGAACAATAACACTACAGTCATTAAACCCGATTTAAGGAGTGAAGTCTTACTGAAAAAAATAATCTGCAGGAGAGAAATCTGTGGAGAAGTAACAGAACAACCATTAACATGCTCAATCTCTTTTTTGATTCAAATAGGAGAGACAAGATTAAAATCTCAGGCTTTTTTTCTTCAGAGAGGAACACCCTCAGTGTGTCACAACTATATGGGAGGCGGTGCTCAGCATGTCTCCTCCTACGTCCGCAGCTTACATCTAAGACCTTATACTCAGCAGCTGCTGAGCATTTCTGACTTTGTGATCCAGAGGAAGACACAATGAGCGGCAGAGGAAAGGGAGGTAAAGGACTCGGCAAAGGAGGCGCTAAGCGTCACCGTAAAGTCCTCCGTGATAACATCCAGGGAATCACCAAGCCCGCTATCCGCCGCCTGGCTCGCCGTGGAGGAGTCAAGCGCATCTCCGGTCTGATCTACGAGGAGACCCGCGGTGTGTTGAAGGTGTTCTTGGAGAACGTTATCCGCGATGCCGTCACCTACACCGAGCACGCCAAGAGGAAGACCGTCACCGCCATGGATGTGGTGTACGCTCTGAAGAGGCAGGGCCGCACCCTGTACGGCTTCGGAGGTTAAACTGCTCCCCTTCCAGCCACCAACCAAAGGCCCTTTTCAGGGCCACCCACCCGCTCATTAAGAAGCAACTTCTACCGTTTAACAGTCATACAATCATTCTGATTATGGCGTATCAACAGCTTTATTGCTTTATTTAATATACAGTCTTTGAGCAGAGAAAACTTCTGGTCAACAAATAATCGCAGACACAAATTCTCGTTGACTGTTTTTAGAGCGCGACTAAATGGCTTGAACCCTTTGTTATACATGCGGTCTTTAAATAAAGAAATTTGTAAAAGTATATATTACATATTATCAGTCTCTATAATGAAACCTATTTTAAACTGAACCCGTGTGTTGCTGTCGCGACACTAACCATTTTATTTGTCATGGCCTGTAAAAGTCCTGCAAAATCCATTTATGTAATTAATTTCTTGCAAGTTTCCTAGAAAAGTGTCTTTATTTGTTATAAAGAATATTTGGTAATTTTATCCCATATTTCTTTCATTTTATTTAATCGGGATTTTCAGGTAGATGTTTTAAATGCCTGTTTATGCTCTTAAACAGCTCTGCAGATTCATCATTCTACAAAGAATTTTTTTTTATGTTGTCCTATTATCTCTGATACATTCTACATTCCTGCTCATATTCTGTTACCTGATTAGTTCACTTTTATGTTTTCTACTACCAAGAAAACTATGGGACATTTTCTCCCAGTTCTCTCTTTTTTTTTTAAAGCTCCATCTTTATGAAATATTTTTATCCGAACAGATCATTTATTGATGTCCTCACTTGAAAATGATTCCTCTCTAATGTAGGTTCCTGTCTAACATCCCATTCACACTGATGTAATGTCGTCACATGAACCTATATTTATAATAACTCTTGTACACAAGAGCTCAAAGTAATCATGATTGTAGTTTTTATTCTTCCTTTCTTTGGCTTTTCCCGCCTTTCTTTTCCCTCCTTTTTTCAGTCTGAGCGCAACATTTCAAAAAGCACGTGATTGAAATTCAAACTCCTTCCAGACTGAGCGGCTCATCCAATCACAGCCGAGGGACGCAGCAGCTTAATCTGAGTGCCTGCTGGATTAGTGCAGCTTCTCCTCCTCAGCAGCTCATTCGTTGTGTCAAACACCGAAGATCAACATGCCTGAACCCGCCAAGTCTGCCCCTAAGAAGGGCTCCAAGAAAGCCGTGACCAAGAGCGCCGCTAAAGGAGGCAAGAAGAGGAAGATTTAAATTTAAAAATTTACATTGAATGAATTTTCACTGGTTCAGTGTTCATGCTGTACTCCATTCCTCAATCAGTTGGATTAAGGTTGCTGGCATGATATCCCTGAAGCCTGATTGGCTGCTTCACACTAAGCAAGACTCTGGTGTTGAAGGGCAGCAATTTATCTTAAGTGTTTATCACAAAATCTGCAGCTCTGGACACCATGGTCACGTGTTTATCTGTTTATCTCCTGCTCCAAAAATGTGCAGGAGCGAGCTCTGCAAGTTGCAAAATAATCAGAGGAATATTCAAAAGCGTCACCAAGGAGAGGTGGACTATTATCACATATATATATATAGATCATTGTACTGCCTTCAAACTTGTAGGATACATAGATAACCTTATCTGGATCATACTACAACTCTTACTTCGTGAAGATAGGCCAAACTGTATTTTTGGAGATTTATTCATTTTTATTATATATATATATATATATATATATATATATATATATAATTACACTATAGATCATTGTAGTGCCTCCAAACATAGATAACCTCATCTAGTTCAGACCACAACTCTTACTTTGGGAAAATGTGCTAAACTCTATATTTTTTGTTGTTGTTATTATAAGAATATAAAAGCCAATAATTACTTATGACTTAGAGACTTAGACAGATTTATTTTGTCATTTTGGATACACAAGAGTAAAAAAAAAGAAATTCTGTTTAGAACAGCTCTAGACAATTTCATATTTTAAAGTGTAGCTTTGAAAACAGTAATAAATTCATAAAAAAATAGTTATATAAACATATGACTATCTATTTAAAGTTATAACATTCTTTTTTTTTCTTTTTTGTGAAGATACAGTAGGCCAAACTGTATTTTTGGAGATTTATTCATTGTTATTATAGGCATATAATAGCCAATAATTACACTATAGATCATTGTAGTGATACAAAACTTGTAGCACACATAGATAACCTCATCTAGTTCACCCTACAGCTCTTACTTTCGGAATATGTGCTAAACTCTATTTTTTTTTTAGATTTTTTCATTGTTATTATAAGCAGGCCAGGTGTGCAATTTCTGCAACAGGAACCGCAGCACTAAGCGTTGTGTGCATTGCACAAAGTATACCCGTCACAAAACTGGAGACAAAAGTGGAAATGTTACTGCTATACTGAAATAATAATGTTTGTCATTCTCTAAGCTGAAATGTTGAATATGAAAAGGCGAGACAAGACAAAATACAATTATTCTCTAAGTTTCTTTCACATAGTGAGCTTTGCAATATAAATGAGTCTGTTGGTGAATGGACAATATAAATAGGCTCTGGCTTGCCTTGTTGGAAAATCATGGTTATGACCTGTTCTCAGCTCAGGAACTAGGACCCGTATGATATCTGGTTGTTCAATAGGTTTGCCTAAATAGAAGATTTAGATATGACTTATAAATACATTCCTGCAAAAAGGTCTGATGTTGTAGAGGAAGGTAATGAAAAGTGTTTGGAGCATGCCCTTGTTCTGATGCCAGTTTGATTCAGGCTTATCCAGTCTCATGTAGAAGAGCTGGTCCAATCACTGGTTATTTACATTACAATAGGGACAGTTAGCAAGGTAGAGTGAATACACAAACTTGTAGAGGGCTTGCAGGAAAATTGGAATTCTGTGGATGGCTCTAGAATATGGAGGATAATGTCGTCTATTATTGTCTTCTTGACGACTTAAAATTGAAGCTAAGTTTTATAAAAATTCTAAGTTCTTAAAAAGCAGAAAAAGTCTCAAACAAAGATTCAAAAATTCGGGCAGTGGCAGCTGAGTCCAGGTCCAGGGTGTTTATTGCAAAACACAACACATTCACACGGAGCTGGTCACCGGTGAGCCTGAGCTGAACAAATGGTGAAAACAGCTCCCTTTTATACAGTTCTTATCAGTGGAAAACCCCCTTCAGAACATATTTTTATATATTTAAACGACAGTCTTTGGTAAAGGTCACATTAGCATTTATCTGCAAATCACGATGACATTCATAGACACATCACATTTTTGTGAGAGCAGTCTCTCAGGCCATGAAGACATCTGGTGCACTTAAATCAGAAACTTATGACAGTTCAATCACAAACATGTTGAAATTAATCCTTTCCCTACTTCAAGCCATGTCAGTCTGGCCTAGGGTTCCCCCTTGTGTCCCAGTCAAAGCATCACCCTTTCTGGGACCAGTTCTGCACCGTGTGCCTTGAAAATAACAACTCTATTTATCACAAGTTGTATGGCCAAATTTTGCTGAGCTGGGCAACCTTGATATGTCAAATATTTCATTTTTAATGAGTGTGCTTTCTTATCACTAAGGGGCCTCAACCCTAGGGATGGGAATCGAAAACCTGTTCCTGTTAAGAACCGGTTCCGTATTTTCCGATTCCATGTCATCGTTTGGCAGCTCGCTGAATGATTCTTTTTTCGATTCCCGCAGCACCAGAGCCTAGAGCGCCGGCTCTGGGGAGCACAACTTACGTCACGTTTTTTACGTAAGTTACGCAACTTACGCAAGTTACGCAAGTTGGAAGAACAATTCGAGGAGGAAGACAACGAGCTGCGGTCACTTTGTGAATCAAAGCCCCGTCTTTCCTTAGCCCAGAGGGTAGATCAGGAAATCCAGCTCTATAAAAGCTTGCCCTCCATCCCCTGCAGGGATAGCGCCACACTGTGGTGGTGGAACAAGCAAGATACGCTGCCCTTGCTATCTGGACTGGCTGAAAACTACCTCTGTGTGCAGGCTTCCTCCACCCCATCTGAGAGGGTATTTTCCACGGCTGGAGACACCATAAGCCCTGAAAGATCCCGTATCCTTCCAGAAAAAGCAGATATGCTCATCTTTCTGCAAAGAACTGTTAATTTTCCCTACTACTGTTTTATAATTAGTATTTTTTGTTATTTAAAATAGGTTATTATCCCATCATTTGTTATTAGACATTGTTGGTTATTAAGTTTGTTCTTGTATTCATTTTTCATTTAAACACAGATGTTACTCCAGTTTCACATTTCCTGTGGACATCTTGATCTTGTTGAGTTTGTAAGATTGTGCAATAGTTAAGTAAACAAAGTTGATTCTGATAATCAAACTGTTTGTTCTCCTTTTTCCCCCAAATTGGAATCGAAAAAAGAATCGATAAAGAATCGAATCGTTTCATAGAATCGAAAAGGGAATCAGAATCGTGAAAATCTTTTCAATTCCCAACCCTACTCAACCCTGCGTTTTCCTGCAGATTCCACTCCTCTGGGCCAGGTGCCACGGTTACACACACTCACTGCTCTGTTTTTCTCATTTTGGCCTTGAATGGCTCTTATAACAGTATTTGTGAAAACAACTTTAAACTTATAAAACATTAACTTTATTTTATTCTTATGATTAGTGCAGATTAATACACAACATTCCCCTCTTTGATCCTAAAAGGATCAACTAAGTGATTGTGCAGGTGATGACTAATCTAAAACACCTTAAATGTGAACTCACACAAGTGACAAAAGTTTATATATATATATATATTGTGCACAACAAACCAAACGTGAGATTAAACACACACCATATATTTGAAGTGAGTAATATAAAACATAGTGGAGAATGTGTAAATGTTAAACTGATAGAAAGCAGAAAAAAGAATATACAAAAACAAAGAGGGACCCCCCTCTTGGCTCCCTTAAGAGGACCCGTCCTCGTTGCTTACTTTTTTTGTAGCAAGATTTTCTAATTCTGTTTTCTCAGCAGAAGCAAATACCAATGCCCAAGCAGCATCTTGTGTTACGAGGTCACTGCATTTATCCCCTACATAGGTGGTCTTTCACACCCATAAATACACAAACACAAACAAAAAGCTTCATCAGGCCCGGACTATGCCAGGCAAACACATCTTCTAGTGGTCAAAGGACCGTCATTACAACCAACATAGGAGTAACCATGTGGCACTCTCCTGCACAGTACTTGTACTGTCACATAAAGTATACAATTCTACCAATATTTTTAACATAGGTATGCATAATCATCAATAATCAGCATTGTCCTTATATCCAGTATGGCGTTGAAGTTGATATTAATAATAATAATAATGGCCTTCATAATTCTGTCCATAATTCTGCCCTCCGTTCGGGCCCCCCTGGGTATACGGAGCCATACGCTGCAGATCAGCGGTCAGCTGCATCACCTGCTCTTGTAGGTTGATAATGGTCTGCTGTGCATCCCGAAGTTGCTGCCTCAGTTCCAGATTGTCTCGGGTCAACTGCCGATTCCCAGCCTTTACTTTGCGTTTGTACATGGTGCGGCGCATCCGTTCAAAGGACCGACGTGGCTCGGGGTGCACCAGACCCTTCATGAATTGGGCATAAACTGCTGTGGTCATAGAGGTGATTTCAGGC